GTCAACCGACCAATCACAGAGTCAGAGCGGTCTGAGGTGGGCGGGGCTACCTGAATGTTCCCGCTTCCTCACAGTGTGATGTCAGCAGTGAGCTCACCTCTGCAGCAGCTTGTAGAGGAAGATGAGGTTGGTGTGCAGAGGAAGGCAGGCCAGCGTCCTCTCGCTGTCAGACGCGTGCTCGTCGCTGCACTGACGGACGCCATCTGAAACAGTCACACAGGAAGTGGAAACCAGTTAAGCTTAGGGAGACGAGAACCTCGCGTGTCTGCTGGGTCGCTGCCCTACCTTGGAAGAGAGCGACGAGGATGTCGGCAGGCGTGCTGATGTCCCGCGGCGTCCTCCACGGCAGCAGGAACGGCTCCCTGCTGACTACACGGGACGGGCCGGACTCGGCGGGGTCGTACAGGCACGCCGGCAGTCGGTCGAACTCCGTCAGGTGGATGTAGGAGAGCCAGAGCAGCGCCCGGTCGGCGGCCATCAGGTGGTCGGCGATGCTCCGGTCCTGAGGCGACTTCAGAGCGTTCTGAGAGGAGAAACGGAGAGCAGACGTCACGTCGCATTAGTCCCGCCCTCTGGAATACAGGTGACAGCCTGTCATGTGGCCCCAACATGGCTGCACACTGACGTAAACAACCCGATTCTTTAAACTTTAAGACATGCTCCTCCCACTCTGACGTTTGTGGTGCACAGCGTGAGGCAGGTTCCCGCGTCTCACCTGCAGGACGGCGAGCGCGCTCTCCAGCCGGCCCGTGAACAGGCTCAGCTGGACTCTGTAGAGCAGCGCCTCCATCAGCTCGAAGGACAGCATCTCCGTGACGCCGGACGAGGCCTCGGCGAGGAGGAACTGCAGCAGACGCTCGCACACGTAGTCTTTCCCTTCAAACGAGCTCTCCAGGTTCAGGTACTGAGCAGAGGTCAGAGGTCAGAGGTCATTTACCTGATAAACGAAGCTAAAACCACCAACGCGCCAACGTTAGCCCGCTGAGCTGCGAGCTAGCGGCTCAACCACGCTCACTTACGTTCCACCACACTCTGTAGTCGGGGGCGTGCTCCACCGCCATCTCGCACATCTCCTGCACCTCCTCGCGGCTGCCGCGCCTGGCGAACAAGGACAGGTAATGGCTCCACACCTCGGGGTTGTCGCAGTTGCTCTCCAAAGCGCGTGACAGCGTGTTCAGGGCGGCTTCCAAACACTCCGCCGCAGAGCTGCAGGGGACAGAGTCAAGGTTAAAGGGGGTGGAGCTCCGCACGAAGACCTGGAGGTTGGCGAGGACTTACGTCTCGCTCTGACTGAGGTATTTGAAGGCGAGCTTGATCCACAGCTGAGTGTCTCGCGGGCTCTCCAGGACGCTCGCCTCCAGGTTCGCGATGTCGTCCGTCTCGCTGATGAAGTAGCGTTTGTCCTCCGAGGTGACGCACGCGTCCAGAGCGGAGAGGCCGCTGTGAGCGCCGCCGTCTGCACGCACAGACACACGTGAGCTCGCTCGGACCTCCCACGGAGGAAACGGCGAAACCCTCCCAGTTTACTAACCTCTGCCAGGTGTCACGTGACCGGCCGCCATCCCCTCGTCGCCGCTGCCGTCGTCCTCGGGACCGAGGTCGTTTTGCGTCGATGGCTTCGGCCTCCACCTCCTCGCATCCTTGTAGGTGGTGTAGGGCGGGACTGGAGACGGAGGGGACAGGTGAGAAGCACGGAAGCGGCCGGAGCAGCGGGCGTTACGGGAACGCCGACCTACCGTGGCGCTTGCTCTCGTTGACTTTGCTGACGAGGAGGACGGCCTTCTGGTCGACGCCCATGCGGTCCTTGTTGGAGCCGAACAGCCTCTTCATGTACTTCTCTGCAAACAAACACAAACAGCTGAGCGTCCACGTGACACGCCTGCCGACCACCAGACCGAGGCCTCGCACCCAGCGCACCTGTGGCGGCGCACACGTCCTCGTCCGAGCTGCTGTCGGAGCAGCCGATCAGCGACAGGTCGTAGGACAGGATGTCCTGGAAGAGCTGGTTCCCGCTCAGAGTGCAGTTCCTCATGTGCTGCCTGCAGAGGCACAAACGTTAGACAGGAGGGGCAAACGCCAAGGACTTATCGTCACGGTAACAGGGCGACACATCACGCAAACATGCCGCTGCGTCGTTTTACTTTGGTGGCGTGACGTCCACCAGCGATCAGCGGTCGGGCTCAGAAATATTGATCATTGATCAGCACGTATCCGTAAGGTTTCACTAGCTGCTCCGTGT